GCATGCATGCATGCATGCATGCATGCGATCGCAAGCATAAAACTTCCTCTTCTGGTTTTCTTGCTTTTGTGCACCTAAGAGCTATTGCAGAACAACTGCATTTAGATGCTATGCTGCTGCTGCTGCTGCTGCTGTTGCTACTGCTGCTTTAGTAGTAGCCGCGGCCTTATCTGCTGCAAATGCGTTTGCTTTCCGCCTTTGCTGTTGCTTGTGCAGCAAAGTCTGCTGCTGCTGCTGCTAAATGTGCCACACTGCTTTGCTGCTGCTTAGTCTGTTGCTACGTTGCTACTATATCTGCTGCTGCTGCTGCTGCTGCTGCTGCTCAGGATGAGTCCTTTGCTGCAGCAGCACTTGGGCGGCTCCCTGGCGACTTTTGGCTCCTGCAGCAACGGCTTCTGGTGTCTCTCAAATTAATTTAATTTAATTGATTTAATTTAAATTGATTTAATTTAATTTGATTTAATTTAATTTGATTCAATTTAATTTCTTTAAATTGTTAATTGATTCAGTTCAATTGCTTAATCTCTTGTAGCTCTCTGCTTCGCATGCATGCATGCATGTACTTAAAGGCTTTTTATGGGGCTTTTCCGCATGCGTGCATGCATGCGTGCATGCATGCATGCATGCGCGTAAAGCCCCGAGCTTTACGTGCATGCACGCATGCAGCACTGCATGCATGCATGTCGCTTTGCGTGCACGCAAGCAGTGCATGCATGAGTGCATGCATGCATGCATGCACTTATGCATGCATGCATGCATGCATGCATACAAGGGTGTGGGGCTTGTGTGCAGGGTGAAGGGTAGTGACATCGACACTTGTTTGGTTTTGCCGGGAGTTTTGAACAAAGCAGAACAAATCACAAAACTCAAAGTTGTCAGTTCCAGCAAACGCATGCATGCATGCATGCGTTTGCTGCTGCTGCTGCCGCTCTGGCTGCTGCTGCAGTGCTTGCTGCTGCTGCTGCAGCGTTTGCTGCTTTTTGTGTAGTTTGAGCCAATGCGATAAAGAAGGATCAATACAGATCAAAAAGAAGACAAAAAGAATCAAAAAAGAATCAAAAAAGACGCAAAAAAGAATCAAAAAAAGACAAAAAAGAAATAAAAAAGAAATAAAAAGGAAACGAAAAGGAAATATATTTTTGCCTTTTTGCAGGCGAAGTATTTGGTGGAGAGGTTTTCAATTGGGTCCGCAGAAATCATTCCAGCACAAGTCCCCATTGCAAAGGTAAGCAGCAGCAGCAGCAGCAGCAGCAGCAGCAGCAGCAGCAGCGGCAGCAGCAGCAGCAGCGGCAGCAGCAGCAGCAGAAGAGATAGAAGCAAGCAACAGTAGTGGTGGGTTTAGGGTTTAGGTTGGGGGTTGAGGGTTTAGGGTTTGTAATATTTTTAGCTTAGACAGGGTTTGGGGTTTGTAGAGTTCGCAAGGTTCCCACTTTAGGGTTTAGGGTTTAGGGTTTAGGGTTTAGCGTCTAGTTCTGTTGAGGGTTTAGAAATTAGAGTTTAGGGTTTAGGGTTTAGGGTTGAGGATCCAGGGTCTACTCTTGTTTAGGGTATATGGCGTAGGGCCTAGTCTTGTTGAAGGTCAAGAGTAAAGGGTTTAGGGTTTAGGGTTTAGGGTTTTTGTGCAGGTGTGGGGTTTAAATGGAGGTTTATTATTAGCTCTACCTTTATCAAGAAAAAGCCTTTTTGAGCGTAAAAACTCCAAAATTGAGTCCCATCAAGGGTTTAGGGTTTAGGGTTTAGGGTTTAGGGTTTAGGGTTTTGTGCAGGTATGGGGTTTAAATGGAGGTTTACTGCTGGATTTGTCTTTGTCGAACAAAGTGGCTTTAATGAATTCTTCTTTTTCTTTTGTCTTTTGCAAAACCGACAAAAGAATCCAAACCCTCGGCACTCTTCTCAAGCGCTGGGGCAGCAGCAGAGGCATCAATAACAGGTCTTCTTTTTCTTTTTTCGATTTTTCTGCAGCTTTTTTCAAACCCTTTTCAGTTCTTTCCGTCTTTTTTCATCCAAGTTTTCTTTTTATTCTATTTCGAATTTAATTGGGCTTTTTCCCCTTTTTTTCGCTTTTATTTGAGCTGTGTTTGCGCTTTTTTGGCTTTTATTTGGGTTTTTTTCGTTTTTATTCCCTCTTTTATTTGTCTCCTTTATCTGTTTTATTTGTCTTTTTATATTCCTTTTATTTGTCTCCCTTATTTGTTTTCTGTTGTCTCCTTATTTTTCGTTTATTTGGTGCTTCTTTCTCTTCTATTTATCTTTTTACCTTTTCTTTATTGCTTTTCTTTTTGTCTTCTTTTATTTTTTTGTCTCTTTCTTTTCGTTTCATTATTTGTCTCTTTTTGTCTTTTTATTTCTCTCTTTTTTGTCTCTTTAATTGTCCTTTTATTTGTTCTCTTTTTTGACAAATTTCATCCAAAAAAATTGGATTGAATTCACCAAATTCAATTTAATTCAATTACCTGAACCTAATCAATTAAATTGATTCAATTTAGTTAATTAAATCAATTTAATGACTTAAATCAAATTAATTAATTAATTTAATTAATTTAATTTAATTTAATTATATAAATTAATTTAATGAATTGTTTTGTTTGCAGATCCGAAGGCACCTTGAGTACGTACACCCTAATGCTGCAACTTTTCTTTTTTTTGCAAACTCGAAATCCTCCAATTCTTCCTCCCTACAAGTAAAACTATTTCTTCTTATATTATTTGATTTTATTTCTTTTTTATTCCTTTTTTATTTTTGTTTTTGTTTCTTTCTTCTTGGCTTCTTTTATTCTTTTAATCTTTTTAAATCCTTTTTAAATCTTTTTCAATCTTTTTTTGACCTTCCTGGATCTTGTTTTTACCTTTTTTATTCTTCTTTTAATCTTCTTTTAATCTTTTCGCTTTTAATCTCTTTTTATTCTTTTTGTCTCTTTTTATCTTTTTTAGCTTTTTATCTTTTTTATCTCCTTTTACCTTTTTTGTCTTTTTTATCTCTTTTTTGTCCCTTTTTTTCCTTCTTTTGTGTCTCCTTTTATTTCTCTTTGCATTTTGATTTCCTTTAATTTCTTTTTATATCTTTTTCCTCTTCTTTCCATTTTCCGTTTTTTTGTTTTTTGTTCTTTTTATTTCTTATTTGTTTCTCTCTTTTGTCTTTTTGTTTCTTTTTGTCTCCATTTAGCTTTTTGCCTTTTTAAATTCTTTTTTTAATTCTTTTTTAATTCTTTTTCAATTATTTTTTAATTCTTTTTTAACCCTTTTTTAATTTTATTTAAATCCTTTTTTACTTCTTTTTAAATTCTTTTTTTAATTCCTTTTAAATTCTTTTTTTAAATTCCTTTCCATTTATTTTTCAAAATCTTTTTCATCTTTGAATTTATTTGCTTTTAAACCCATTTAAATGAAATTCTTCTCTTTTTGAATGTATGTTTCATCCCTTCTTTTTTGTTTTTATTTTACTTTCAATATTTATTTTTTAATTTTAATTTTTCTTTTGCTTTCTAATTTATTTTTATTTTTAATTTTTGTCTCTTTCTGTCTGTCACAGAAGCATCGAGCTTCCGGAGGCTTCTTCAGAGAGTCCCCAAACAGCAGCAGCAGCAGCAGCAGCAGCAGCAGCAGCAGCAGCAGGCAGCAGCTCTAGGCCCGCTGGGGATCGATTTGGAGGAGACGATCCCAGACGTTTGCCTTTTGCTTCCGACAGCGAGTAAAAGCTTTTTGTCTCTTTTGCTGCTGCAGTTCAACCCTTTTCATTACAGCAGCAGCAGCAGCAGCTGCTGCTGCTGCTGCTGCTGCTGCTACTTCACCTCTTTAATTGGCTGAAGATCAAACCGCAGCAGCAGTAGCATTCGCAACAACTGCTGCTGCTGCTGCTGCGGATACAGTAGCTTCTGCTGCACTTGCCGTGCCTTCCGCTGCTGTCTGCCCTGCAGCGGCAGCAGCAGCAGCTGCTGCTGCTGCTGCAGTGTTTGTTTACTTTCGTTTTTTGGGTTTGTTGCTGCAGCTGGATCGTAAAGAATGTGATGAGTAAATATGACAAAAACACAGAGACAGTTGAGGAGCTGCTGATCGGGTTCTTCCATGTAGGCTGCTGCTGCTGCTGCTGCTGCACTTGCTGCTGCTGCTGCTGCTGCTGTTCTTCCTATTGCTTCGGTATTTGCAGCGGCTTCATCTTTCTTTTGCTGCTGATGTTGCTGCTGCGGCTGCAACCCTACCGGCGTTTGCTGCTGTGCTTGCTGCTGCTGTGCTTGCTGCTGCTGCACTTGCTGCGGCTGCAGATGTTGCTGCTGCACTTGCTGCTGCATCTGCTGCTGCTGCTTTTGCTGCTGCTGCTGCCTTCTCGCGTTTCCACTTTTCGTGGCGCAGCAGCTAATCCCTCGAAATAGTTCCTCATTAATAAATTACCACTAAGAATTATTTATATATATATATTTATTTATTTATTTATTTTTTTATTTTTTTATTTTATTTATTTCAGTTTTATGGCCACGCGCTGCCGCAGCTGCAAACTGATGCTGCTATCATTTTGGACCCTTATGATGCTTCGCTGCATGTGGGGCAGCAGCAGCTTGACCCCCGGCTGCTGCATGCAGCAGCAGCAAGTGGAGCAGCAGCAGCAGCAGCAGCAGCAGCAACTGCAGCAGCAGAGACCCACCCTTTCCCCACCCCGCGGGGGCCCCCAGGGGGCCCCCCAAGCCTGCACGCAGCAGGCGAAAGAAAGTTTCCTATCCCTCGCAGCGCAGCCCTCGACGTGGCTGCTGCTGCTGCTGCCAGCAGCAGCAGCAGCAGCAGCAGCAGCAGCAATATGTGGCTAATGAGGTGCCCCTTGTCCCGCTGCATTGTCAACCGTTTCAGCCCCTCTGCGGGGACCCTCATTGTCTCTGAGTTTGCCCGCGCCCATGTGCTGCTGCAGCAGCAGCAGCAGCAACAACAACAGCAGCAGCAGCAGCGGCAGCAGCAGGATCCTCTGTCTCTGCTGTGCGAGCCCGTCACAGTCAGCCACCGGGAACGGATAAAAACAGGTCAGTTAAATTTATTTATTTGTTTATTTTTAATTTTTATTTGTTAAATTTATTTTGCAAGTATCTCTTTTTTAATTTCGTTCTATTTAATTCTCACTTTTTTCTTTTAATCCTTTTTGCCTCCAATTGTCTCTCTTATTGTTTTTCGTTTCTTTTTTTGTTTATTACTGCTTATTTTGCTTATTTTTGTTCATTTTTGTCCGTTCTTTTGTTTATACTTATTTTCTTTTTATTCATTTTTATTTCATCCATTCTATTTTTATTCATTTCTATTTTTAATTCATTTATTGCATTTTATCTATTTTATTTTAATTTCTTGCGCAGAGACGTTTCGCTACAGAAGACTTGCTGCTGCTCTCGCCAGGGCCCAGGGCTTGCTGCCTCCCCCCGTCCACCTCCAGCAGCAGCAGTAGCAGCAGCAGCAGTAGCAGCAGCAGCAGCAGCAGCAGTTGCTGCAGCGGCAGCAGAAGCAGCTGCAGCAGCAGCAGCTGCAGCAGCAGCAGCAGCAGCAGTTGCTGCAGCGGCAGCAGAAGCAGCTGCAGCAGCAGCAGCAGCAGCAGTTGCTGCAGCGGCAGCAGAAGCAGCTGCAGCAGCAGCAGCAGCAGCAGCAGTTGCTGCAGCGGCGGCAGAAGCAGCTGCAGCAGCAGCAGCAGCAGCAGCAGCAGTTGCTGCAGCGGCAGCAGAAGCAGCTACAGCAGCAGCAGCAAGTGGCTCCCAAGGGACAGCCCGAGCGAGCAGCAGATTAAAATGTTTGAAGTCTTTGGCACGGCGCCTTGCAATTAAAACAAATCATTATTTTTAAACTTTTTATTTATTTGTTTATTTATTCATTCGTTTATGTATTTATTTATGTACTGGGGTTCTTTATTTATTTTGGCTACTTTCCACTTTCGCTTGGCTTCCTAGACACATGCATCCCCACCTCTACGGTGTACGTACACTCCCTGCATGCATGCATGCACGCCTCCAGCCCCACAAAGCCCCAAAACTTTGCCCTTAAAAGAAACTGGGGTTTCTGTCCGGCGTAAACCGAAAAAGACAAACGCACGCAGCCCCAAAATGGCTGCATACCCATGCATGCGAAGGGCCCCTCAGGGGGCCCCCTAGGGGCCCCCTAGGGGCCCCCTAGGGGCCCCCCAAGTGGCCTCCAGAGGGGTCTTAAGGGCCTCCTAGGGGCCTTCTAGAGGCCCCTAAGGGGCCCCCTAGAAAGCCCCACAGGGGCCCCCAAGGGGAGTCTTGGGGGTCCCCCAAGGGCCTCCTGGGGGGGTTTTGAGGGGCCCCCTAGGGGGCCCCCCAGGGGCCCCCTAATCTTGGGGCCCTGTTTCTGTTCCTGCTTCTGCTTCTGAGAGAACTAAATGCCACTCCTGCATGACGCTGCTGACCATGTTCATCTGCAGCAGCAGAAGCAGCAGCAACGGCAGAAGCAGCAGCAGCTTTCGCAGCAGCAGCATCAGCAGCAGTAGCAACAGCAGCAGCAGCAGCAGCAGCGCCCGCAGAAGCACCACGACCACCGCCAGAATCAGCAGCAGCAGCAGGAGAGCCAGCCTCAGCAACGGCGCTAACTGCAGCAGCAGCAGCAGCAGCAGCAGTTACTGTGGTGTTGTAGAGAGCAGCAAGTTCAGTTATTTTGTTTTCCAACTTCAAGACAGCAGCAGCAAGAGCATTTCCCTTCGCCTCCAAAGATTGCATACGCCGCTTGTAGTCTTCAAGCTCTGCAAACCCCAAAACACACAACGATGCATGCATGCATGCATGTATGTATGTAATTATATGTGTGCATGCATGCATGCATGCAAGTATATGTGTGCATGTCTGCATGCATGCATGCATGCATCAAGTTGGCTCTGAAACGCCCCAGTTATACAGGTTCGCTGCATGCATGCATGATGCATGCGGAGCAGCTGAGAACTTGCGCTACTGCAGCAGCTGCTGCTGTTGCAGCAGCTACTGCTGCTACCAGAAGTGCTGCGGCTGCTGCTGCTGCTGCACTGCTGCCTGCAGCACACGACCAACCCTCCAGCCCCGGCCCCCGCCGCCCCCGCTGCTGCCGCTGCTGCTGCTGCTGCTGCTGCTGGGCTTGTACCTGAAAGGCAAGGGGGATTGACTAGCTCTTGGAGACTTTCTAAGGTCCTGAGTTGTGCTGCAGTTGACAGCAGCTGCTGCTCCTGCTGCAGCACCAAATCTCTCTTTGCCCGCAGCGTCAGCAGCAAACGAGCAGCAGACAACGGGCCCCCCTCCAGCCACACCTTCAGCTCAGAGTCTGCAGCAGCAGCAGCAGCAGCAGCAACCGCAGCAGCAGCAGCGGCAGGACAGGGTCGGGGTCAGGTACACGCAAGTAGCTCCCACAGGTCTACAGATCCGCGACGGCAGCACAAACAGCAGCAGCAGCAGCAGCAGCTACAACGACAGCAGCAGCAGCAGCAGCAGCAGGTTACATTTGGCCACGACTTCTCCCAAGGGCCCCCTGAGAGCTGCTGCTGCTTGGTGCTGCAGCCGGCAAAGCGAAAGCACCAGCGAAGGCTCGTAGCTAGCTGCTTCGTGTTTTGACTGGCTAGCTGCTGCTTCTCCTGCTGCACCTTGGCTAGCTAGCTGGCTAGCTAGCTGGCTAGCTAGCTGGCTAGCTAGCTCGCTAGCTGCCCCCTGGCCCCCCGAGCTGCTGCTGCCCGGGGACCCGGAGGCAGCAGCAATGCCTGTGCCAGAGGCGCACACGCGCAGCAGCAAAACTGCACTCAGCAGCAGCAGCAACAGCTGCAGCAGCAGCAGTAGCAACAGCAGCAGCAGCAGTTGCAGCAGAGGTTCTGTTGCATTTATGGCCTGTCTGTGGCTTTGCATTCGCCAAATGCTCCTGCAGCCCCGATGAGCACTCCGCTAATTGGTGGTCGCTAAGGGTCTAGGGTTTAGGGTTTAGGGTTTAGGGCCTATGGTTTAGGGTTTAGGGTTTGGGGTTTAGGGTTTGAAACGGTCATGGGCCCAGAGGATACGGGGTTTAAGACCTAGGGTTTATCAAGGTAGAGATCCGAGGGTTAGGGATTTAGGGTTTAGGGTTTAGGGTTTAGGGTTTAGGGTTTGGCGTGCCCGTTGCTGCTTCACATAGGGCTATTCGCCTTTCTATTTCGTCAAGAATAATTCTGCCCTGCTCGTTGGTTAGGGTTTCGCGTTCCTGCTGCTGCAGCAGCAGCAGCAGCTGCTGCTGCTGCTGGTCCTGCTGCTGCAGTTGCTGCTGCTGCTGCTGCTGTGGCTGCGCCGGAGCCTCGGACTGCTGCTGTTGCTGCTGCTGTTGCTGCTGCTGGACTTGTGCCTGCTGCGCAGGCTGGGGCGCTTCATGCTGCTGCTCCTCGTGCTGCTGCTGCTGCTCTGACTGCTCTTGCTCCTGCTGCTGCTGTTTCTGCTGCTCCTCTTCTGCCGGCTCCTGCTGCTGCTGCGCTTGCTGCTCTTGTTCCTGCTGCTCCGGCTCTTGCTGCTCTTGCTCCTGGTGCTGTTGTTGCTCCTGTTCTTGCTGCTGCTGCTCTTGCTGCTGCTGCTGTTCAGCAGCAGCAGCTGCGGCTGACTCCGGGCTCTCTCCAGCCATAGCGGGGCGCCAGAGAGGCTTTCAGCTTGTGCTGCCTGCTGCTGCTGCTGCTGCTGTTGCTGCTGCTATGGCTGCCGCTGCGGTTGGCTCCGAGGATGCAGCAGCAGCAGCAGCAGCAGTTTCGGAACCAGCAGGAGCAGCAGCTGTTGCTGCTGCCCTATACCTACGGCAGGCGACTCACGCCGCGCATTCGTGGGGACTACAGCTTTGTTGCAGCTGCAGCTGCTGCTGCTGCAGCACAGGTGGTCTGTTTCTGCTGCTGCTGCTGGTGCTGCTGCTATGCCAGCTAGCAGCAGCAGCAGCAGCAGCAG